TCTTTTTTTTTAAAAACAGATAATTCTCAGGCACACAACAAATACGGCGTTGTTTGCGTTCTTTCCTAGAAACGACAAAACGCTGTATTTGTTGTGTGTCTGAGAAGTATCTATATTAAAAAATGGACGATCCTTTAATTGTTATTTTCCGGACACTTTTTTTCCGTGACTGTACATATAAGTACATTAGAGTGTTATTGTTATCGTTTTAAAATAACAAGCGTAAGCTACATTGCTTTTATACAAATAAAAATAAATAGTGTTCTGAAAGAAAAAATGTTTGCACTTTGTACACTGCAAATATTTATTATAACATATTAAGAGATAATTTATGTAACTACACAGCGTAGATGCCATAAGGAAATGCTGACAGACACAGGTCGAGTTAGACAGGCACAGGTCAGCCAGTAGAAAAGACGTGCCATTTCTATTGTGAATATATTATTACAGTTTGATTTAGACTATTAAAGTTACATTATGAATTAAATATTATGAATAATATTTATGAATTAACATTTAATATATTAAACTGGCACTAAATTTAAAATATATCTTCCAGAAATCTATTATAATAAAAAAAATTATCCAGCAATTTTTTGTTTTGCGGACCATTTGGCGCCCCTTTGTGAGTAGCGCCCGGGGCATGATGACCCCCCTTGCCCACTTCTCACTACGCCACTGCATAGGACAATAACCTCTGTTTGCTAAATCAATGAGAAGAAACTAATTTTCATATGCCAACACGAACCTTTCATTCCATTGATTTAGCTTTATGTTCTCATGCCGTTCATCAACTTTTCTGTTAGTGATAGTCTGTGATCATTTTCCTCTCATTTTATCATATTCTGCGACAGTTCCCGTGAGTATTCATATATCATCGAGTTGACTTATTCACTCTACTTGCTCAGATAAACAATACAATTGTTACTGATGTCGATATAAATAGTGCTGTTAATCTCTGTAATTATCCGTGCTGCAGAAGATAGTATCCCAAAGACGTCAAGCTCTGTTCCTCGTTTACGTAAGCCTTGGTGGAATTCTGAATGTTCCTCGGCTTACAAGGAGCAGAAACGTCTTCTACGACAAATCTTTTGGCCAAAGCATTTGCTCGCAAGGTCCGGCGCATAAGTCAAAAAGAGTCTTGGATGCGCTAAGACATCTCCCACACAAATCTGGTTGAGAGTCATGAAAGCAAATGGCATATACCGTGAATTTCATTCCCCGATATTTAAAAAGAATGGTACTACCTATTCTGCTCCTATCGATCTGCAGTCCGGATAAATTACATTTCAGTTTTCCGAAACCACAAGCGCAATGTCGAACGCCAAGTCATTAATTTTCACACTCGCAGATCATCTTCATATAATCCTGATTTTACTTTTCTAGAGTTACAACGCGCATTATCATCTGCTTCAAATACAAGTCCTGGTCTTGATGGCATTACATATCGCATACTCTGCCATTTAGATACTGCGTCCTTGTTAAATGTCCTTGTTCTTTTTAGTAGAATTTGGACGGAACAGACGTACCCTACTAAATGGCGTGAGGCTATTGTGATTCCCATTTTGAAACCAGGCAAGAATCCCAAAGATCCGGTTAACTATCGTCCCATAGCTTTAACCAGCTGTTTATGAAAAACATTTGAGTACATGATTAACGCACGCCTTGTATATTTCCTCAAAAAAAAGCGTCTAATACCTAATTTTCAAAGTGGCTTTCGTAGAGGAAGATCAACAATAGATAATATTATCCAACTAGAGTCTCGAATTCGAAATGCTTTTGTCCAGCGGAATCATCTAATCTCTATCTTCTTTGATATCGAGAAAGCATATGATCGAACCTGGCGATATGGAATTCTGAAGGCACTGTTTGATTTGGG